AGTTGATTCGGTCCTCAAATGTGTAAGGGATCTCCTGGCCAGTCTTGGGGTCCACAGCCTGTACCCCTTTCCGGTAGAAGATGAGTCCTGACCTGTGTGGAAGGCAGGTGGTCAGAATCTAGGTTGTGGGCTGGCCAAATAGCTCAGCAGATTAAAGCAGGCAGGGCCAGGGGTTTGATCTCCGAGCCTGCCATGCCAGCCCCACCCCCAGGGCGTGCTGAGCTGGCAATTGAGACTGGGCGTGGTGGTGCACACCTGTAATCCCAGCTCTTAGGATGCTGTAAACAGGCAGATTAGTATGAGCCCCATCTAGCAGTGAGACCCTGAACACCCTGGAAGCCCTTCTCTTAAAAAAAAAAAAAAGAATCTAGGTTGCAATGAAAGAACAAAGAATGGAAAGAGCAGAGGAAGCTGGCTGGCTTGGGTCCTTGAAGGCCCTGAGTTCCCTCCACTGTGCCTGATGCCTTGAAGGCTCACAGTAAAAGGATTGGTCCCAGCCCCACTCCCAAGCCCCTGTTGAGAAATGACCATCTCAGGGGGAGAAGAACTGAATGGTCAAACTGGGTAGGAGTCTTGGGACTGGCAGGTGGGAATGCATTCCTCTCGGACCCACCTGGGGAATGGGGTGTGAAGGCGGGGACAAGCAAGGTGCGACCCCAGGGGAACCTGACCTGGCCCCTCGAAGTGTCTTGTGAGTGGTAGTGGTGACAATGTCTGCATACTGGAAAGGTGAAGGAATCACCTTGGCGGCCACCAAGCCACTGATGTGGGCCATGTCTGCCAGCAGGTGTGCCTTGACCTCATCACAAACCTGGACAGGTAAACAGGTAGGTCTCAGCTTGGGTAAGGCCCAGACAGGCACACCGAGGAGGCTGCCTCCAGCCTCCACCCCCAGGGCAGTGCCCAGCATAGCAGCCCCCTACCAACCTCTCTCATGCGGGCGTAGTCAATGAGGCGAGCATAAGCACTGGTACCAGCTATTATGAGCCGTGGTCGGAAAAGTCGAGCCGTCAGTGCCAGCTGGTCATAGTCTATGAGGCCAGTTTGGGGCTGGACAGACAAATAAACAGCTAAAGCCCTGACACAGCAGCAGAGCGTTCACACTGCTTTTTGACCCCTAGGGCTGCTCAGAGGGGAGGGAGTCTCCTGGTGCCTTTTCTCCTCCTAGAAAAGAAATACCAGGGCCACAGCAGCTACCGCCTACCCCCAAGAACTCACATTGAGCTTGTAGGGCATAGACTCGAAGAAGATGGATGTGGCAGAGATCCGCTTGACATCAGACATGTAGCCATGGGTGAGATGGCCCCCATCGGGCAGGTCCAGCCCCATGATTCGGTCATGAGGTTGCAGAAGGGCTGTGTAGGCAGCCAGGTTGGCTGGAGACCCCGAATAGGGCTGAACATTGACTCCCCACTGTGTAGGATCTAGGTCAAAGGCTTCCAAGGCACGGCGCTGGCATAGCAGCTCGATTTCATCCACTACCTCTGCTCCTCCATAGTATCTGCCACGGAGAGGAGTACACTAAGGGCACAGAGAAAGGACTCTCGACCAGTAGCAAAGGACTGGGAAGGTCACTGATCCATAAGCACCTGGAGGGTACAGGAAGGTTCCGCCACTGGGAGTACCATCCCTGACGCTGCCCTCCAGCCCTCTGGTGCCTAGCCCTCACCTCTTGCCAGGATAACCCTCCGAGTACTTGTTGTTCAGACAGGACCCCAGGGCCTCCAGCGCAGCTCGGCTGCAGAAGTTCTGGGGTGGTGGGGGGGCAATGTCAGAAGGTATTGAGCCCCTTTCCTTGAGTTCCCATAGCCCCACCCTATCAGAGCCCAAGGCTTCAGGGGGAGCCAGGCTGCACAAGAAGCTCTGTTCACTCTGGGGTCCTTGCCAGGTGTGGGCAGAGCCAGAAGCAGCTTTCTTGGCAACTCCGCAGCTGTGATGGGTGTCCCTCACCTGTCCGTTCAAGCTTGTATCTCTAGGCTCCTCTTTCTTCTGGGGGGAGGGGGAGCAGGTGAAATTGTAGGGACTCTAGAAGGCTCTGGAAGCTCTCCAATGCCCCAACCCCATAAAGTAGACCCACCCTGCTTTTGCTTCAGAGGATGGTAAAGAGAAGATGACAAGGCCCAGCAGAAAGGCCCGGAGGAAGACAGGGAGATCTGGAGAAGTAGCAAGAAGGTATCTTGTTACTTCCTGTACCTACCCTATGGCCCACCCTCTGCCATTTCCCCGGGTCCCACCTCTGAGGCAATGAGCTCCAGGCCGCGGCACTGCCTGTCCTTCTCTTTCTGTAGCAGCTCCCACATCTCAGGGTCACTGTCGGAGAGACTCTCTTGGCCAGTCCAGCCCTGAGTCGCCTCTCCAGTCCGAGTCTGGGCTGCCTTCCTGTGCTGGGCCTGAGTAGCCATCTTGGCCAGCTGACCACATCTCTGCAGAGGCTAGGGACAGGAAAAGTCAGGGTCAAAGAAGAATTGTTTAGAAAGTCTCCCAGTCATTCAGCCACCACATGCATAAGTTCTCTGGCCTGTACCAGGCAACCAGTTGTTGCCCAGCCAGACTGTTCCAGTTCTCTCAACACTACCTCCACAGAAAAAGCCAGTCTGCCAAGGTTGAGATTCATGTCCAGAGGGTAGTTTTTTGTTTGTTTCTTTTCTTTTGAGACAAAGTCAATTTGTAAGCCTCCTACCTCAGTCTCCCAAGAAAGGTGTAGTTCTGATAGACCCCACTCATCTCACCTCAGAATCTCCTTCCACCTTGCCCGTGACCACCAAAACTGCACTGCAGAAGCCCCTATATCCCAAACTCAAGAAGACAGCAGACTCCTGAACCTCCCCGCCCCCAGGGACAAAAAGGCTTTCCTGCAGGCACAAACTGTTACTCCAGTTGGAGAAAGAGACCAAGTGGATTGAAGTTAAAGTCCATGGCTTCAGAGCAACAGAAGTGGGAGCACAGACCCAGGCTCTGGAAAGGTACGTTGGAGTGGGTGGTCGCGGGGAGAGGCTGCCTGCAGGCAGAGGCCAATATCCTGTCCCCTTCACCACTCACGCATTCCACATCTTCCCAGCTCTATAGCTGGGGGAAGCCCTGCCTGATGAAAGTGGCGGAGTTTGTTTGCATCATCTGCAAGGCAAAGAGCTGGCGGGAAGGGGGGGGGGAGGCTGGCGGGTCGAGGCTGGGAATCCCGCTTGTTTGCCAGCATAGTGTCTGCCTGGCATCCGATGAGCTGCTCTCCCCTAATGCCACGTGAAAAGGGCAGTCACGAGGCCCTGGGGCGCCTGACCATCAGAACGATGAGTCCCAGTGCACCCATCGCGAGCCCGGGGGTGCGTCTTCGGGATTCCTAATTTAGGGATTTGCTCCCTGTGCCCCTACAGCACGTGGGCTAGAAAAGCCAAGAGAACCCCAGAGTTTGTGGACAGGAACTAACGTAGGGGGTTGGGACTTTCCACTGGTCACCCAGAATGTGGAATCCCGTTCTTACCCGTGTTGCCCAGAACAAAGGGAAGGGTAGCATCTTTACACGAGGTAGCAGGAGGTCCAGCCACTAACTCCGGTACGGAGCAGCAAGGGGTCGAAAGAAGACCGGCCCTAAGGCGCGTGCGCGAAAAAGAACGGCCCGGGAAGCTGGAGTGAAGGGGAGGAGCATACGCATGCGCAGTGAAAGCCCTTTGTGTCCTGGGAATTGTAGTTTTTTCTTCCTCATTCCCCAGCAGTACCCTCATGATTTAGGGAACATTGCCCGAAAGACGCTTTTTTTTTTTTTTTTTTTTTTGACAGTCTCCCTATATAGTTCAGGATGTCCTTGAACTCACTATGTAGCCCAGGATGGCCTTGAACTCGCGGGGACCTTCCTGCCTCAGCCTTCCTAGTGCTAGTATGATAGGCATGCACCCTCTCCCACCAACACTGCCCAAAATAAAAGATGTCTATCTAGGGTGACTATATACGTATATATAACCACGTCCTAAAGCTTTTTGATTTTTTTTCTTTTTAAAAAATTTGTCCTCAGGGTTTCTTTTTTTCCTGTCAATTGTCAAGATGAGTATTCTTTGGATGCCTATGGAATATTCAAAATTTTGTTTATTTTTTTAAAGATAGGTTTGCTGTGTAGCCCAGGCCGGCCTTGAATTCGTAGCAATCCTGCCTTGGCCTCCTAGTGCTGGGATTACAGGCTTGCAACACCACACCTGGTTCCAGAATGACTAATTTCTCCTGAGAGATCGGATTCCCCTACAAGATATGGCACAGTGGAAAACAGCTGGTTTGATGGGATTCGAGACCTGAGTTCTAGTTCCAGTTCCAGGACTCTAGCCAATTAGCCTATCTTGGTCTCAGTTTCCTCATTCGTGGTGCCATAATAAAATAGCATGGGGCTGGTGAGATGGCTTAGTGGTCTAAAGCACCTACTTAGAACAAGTAGAGCAAAGCACAGGGATCACAGTTCAATCCCCCAGCACCACATGCCAGCCAGCCACGCCCCCTGGTGGGCTGAGCTGCCCCCCCCCACATACACACACATAAATAAATAAAATTTAAAAAAATAATAATAAAATAGCATGCAGTAAGGGTTAAATAAGCCTCTGTGTGTGAACATGCTCTTCTGTGGACAGTCCTCCTCTAACTCACAGTCCTACCTGCTCCATGGTCATCTCCTCCTCAGCTGAAAGCAAAGTGGAGTGCCTCCTCTTGCTGATCCGCATGTTGCTTTTTGTTGCTGCCTCAGTGACATCACTAGCAGTCAGTGAGTTCTCTTTCTGTCCCAGGCTATAGATTCCTAGAACCCTAAGGGAGTTTCCTTTTAGCCTTACTGGTCTTCTACAAAACTCTTGAGGAAGGGACTGACTCATTGACCCTTACAAGAGAATTCCTCCTCTCAGAGGTTCTAATTCAATGGATCTAGTTTCTCCTCAGCGATTCTGATAAACAATGGCTTTGAGAACTGGAGCTCTACACAACAACGTTTCACCTTCATTCAGAAGACAGACTGAGCTGCTACTCCACGCCCAAGCATGCCACAGCCCTGGTGAGGCCAAAGGAGTTCCCTAGGTGTTGAACACCAAAAGGTGAACACCAAAAGATGACAAAGTTTGACAGGTATAATAGTATCCAGGACACTTCACTCTGCTCTCCGTGCAAAATGCTGGAAGGGGTAGGGGAGCTAGGTGTGCTATTCACTGGAAGAGGACAGCCCTGGAAGAGCATGTTTGTACACAGTCTCAATCCCCATTGCATGAGGGGGGTTGGCTGTGTGTTTATGGGGTGTGTGTGTGTGTGTGTGTGTGTGTGTGTACCTGTTTTGCTTCAGAACAAACCTAGGTCCTCAAGCATCATGCTAATTTATTATGGTTTTATAAGGGAAACTGAGGCCTAAGCCCAAATAGGCCAATTTGCTGTTTTCAGTTATTCCTACCTGGCTCGCATACTGGATCTCAGTCTCATAAGTCACTCCTTAGCTCTGACTTCCTTTCCATGCTTTATCTTAGCTTTTCTCAAGTGTTTCCTGCTTAGGCCCCGTGTGTTAGGAGACCTCTGCATTCTTTTACCTCCAGTCTGACCCAGAACCATCCCATCTCCCTCCTCCTTTCATTTGATCCTGTTATTTATCTATACATCCAATCCATCCAACCAGTAGATAATTATTTCTGCTCACCGACTTTTCATTCTTGGGCATGTCTGGGTTAGACCCATTTCTGACTACGTTTTGGGCTGAAGCCGTGAAGCAGTCCCGTGACAGAACACTACCTTCTCCCTATGGGCACCCTGACCCACCCCCCAGGGCTCCAAAAGAAGGCAGGCTGAAGAGGAGGAGTTCCTCTGTGCCTCAGCTTGCCTGCACCCCCTCCTTAACCCTAGTCAGGGGGTCCCAAGGGGAGGGGGCTGCAGAACTGAGAACTGCTAATGAAGCCGCAGCCAATTAACGCCCGGGCCAGGGTTGGGGGGCGGATAAAATTAGCTGCCGAGGCTGCAGGAGCAAGCTGAAGGCGGGGGTGGAGAAGGTGGGCAGCTGGCTGAAGGGGGCCGTGTTTGCAGGCGGCTCGCAGCAGCCCCGCGGCCCCGCCCTCCTCCCTTCCCCCCATCCCAGGGCTACCTCCCTCTCTCAGCCGTCTGCAAACTCAGCGCCCACGAAATTAGGAAGGAAAAGGAAGATCGATGACTCCAGATGCCGCAAACACCGATCCCCCTCCCTCAACCTGCCACCTCCCTCCAGCCCCACGGAGCTTAGCAGGTTGTCAGCGCTCTGCCTACGCCGTCCCTGCTTCTCTGTCCCGTTCACGGTCTCTTACACCTTCCTGAAGTCGTCCCACATAGACAGCAAGTCACCCCGCTCAGGTCGACCCTCTGTCCTCTCCCCCAATTTCCCTTCGCCTTCACAGAATTCCCACCTCAGGCAGGGTCCTGCTCCAAGAGTCACGTTCAGCTCTCTTTGATCCGGTCTTAGATGGCCTCCAAAGTGCTGGCTCTGTCAGTCGTTGCCTCGGTTTCCCTGCCGGCCGCCAAGAAGGAGGTCCTGGCCCCTTCTCTACCAGACAGAAGCCCACACCTGCCCCCCTCTTCCCCACAAAGGTCTCACACAGACGTGTATTGGATTTCACTTTATTTTGTTCCCTTTCCCGTCTGTTTTGGCGTAGAAAAAAAAAATATCACCGAGAGGAAGCAGCCGGCGAGGGCAGGTAGAGCTGGACTGCAGGGGCGAGGATGGGACGGGAAGGGCTGGGCCCCAATTCTGCTTCCGCGGGCTGGAGGGTTGGGAGGGAGGGGACAGGCAAACGACAGGCAGAGGAGGGGACGACCCGGGGCCTGGGGCCTTCAGTCTTTAAGTGGGGCAGGGTGGTAGCGGAGGACAGAGGTTTAGGGATGGAGTATGAAGCGGCCAGGCCGGGCGTTATTAAAGCTGCGGGCAAAGGGGGTGTCCAGCTCAGCGCCGGGCAGAAGGGGATGAGGGGCGGGCAGAAGCCCTCGGGGTCGCCTCCAGGACCCGCCCACCCCGGGGCCGACACCCCAGCTTGCAGGCACCCTTGGGAAGGGGGCTGGCTGCCGCGGGTTGGGCCGTTCCCTTCCGTCCCGCCCCTGTGCGGAAGCCCGCCACCCGACGGGACCAAGAGTGGGCCCCAGCCGGCGAGGCCAGGCCCGGGGCGCTAGCCGAAGTAGGGGTGCTCGCTCTGGAAGTTATAGTCTGGGCACACTTTCTGCACCAGTTTGTAGTCAAAGCTGAGGAAGGAGACGAAGATACAAATGACTTTGAAGGGCTTGGCACAGAGCCAGGCAGCCTGGCTCTGCGTGTGCTCGGTGAAGCACACCTGCGTAGGGTCGTACAGGCATGGGCGGTGCTTGCGCGCGCGGTTGGTCTTCTCGTACTCCACGTGGCAGTTGAAAGCCCGGGACTCTTTGGCCCCAGGGACTCCCAGCATACCACGGAGGGGGCCGGCCAGTGCACCCCCGAGGGAGCCTCCGAGCCCGGGTCCCGCAGCCGCCATTCCCAGTGGGGACCCCAGCCCTGGAAGCACCCCCTCCAGGGCCAGCGTGGACTGCAGAGGGTGGGGGGCAGGCCCAGGCAGCCAGACGCCCCCAAACTCCACGAGCTTGGAAGGTGGTACGATACTGACACTGAGGTTGCCCAGGCTGGACGAGTTGTGGCGGAAATACACACTGAAGGTACCGTTTACGTGGTCCACGATCTTGCCAGTCACCAGCAGTGAGAACTTGAGGGTATGCACCCGAAAGTAGAAGTCCCCCCAGCCGAATATCTTCTTGGCGCGGGCCGCCTTGATGGACGGCTTCCTTTTGCTGCGCTGCGCGGGTAGCGCCCCTGCAGCACCAGCCCGGGCCAGCGCCCCCGTGTGGTTAGCCGGCCAGGCCCAGCTCCACGCGCGGCCGGTGCCCAGGCCTTCCGGAGCCCTAGGCGCCGCGAGCTGTTGGCTAGGGGTGCGCCCTCTGGCCGGGGCTGGGTGCAGTTCCAAGTACTGCGGCCTTCCAGAATTCGGTATCTGGGCAGTGAAGGCCTGTGTAGGAAGAAAGAAACAAAAGGAGAGGCACTGGAGTGGGCCCAGTTATCTAGCCTAATACTCAACCAGCTCTTTTAGTCGCTGGGAGCCTAAACGGAATGCGGATGTCCACTGCGGGCAGATCAGGAGTGTCCCTTGGAATAGACCTACAGCCCTTTGCAAGTTGTGTGGTCTTGGACAAAGCAGTTCATTCATCTAGACCTCAGTTTCTTTTCTTTTTTTTTTTTTAATTTTTTTTTAATTTTTTATTTATTTGTGTGTGTGTGTGTGTGTGTGTGTGTGTGTGGCCAGCTGAGCCCACCAGGGGGCGGGGCTGGCTGGCATGTGGTGCTGGGGGATTGAACCGTGGTCCCTGTGTTTTGACTAAGCTTGTTCTAAGTAGGTGCTTTAGACCACTGAGCCATCTCACCAGCCCTAGACCTCAGTTTCTGTATCTGTAGTGACCTGAGAAATTTTGTGTTCTCACAGAGGACCAATGTGGCCTCATAAACCAAAGCCTGTGGGGGTGAGTGGGCAGTGAATTTCTGCTCCGGCTCCCCTAGCTTAGCCCTGGAGATGCTCCTAATGGAACAGGAAGAGCTGGACCCATCAGGAAAGGCTCTGGCTATAACATGCAGCATGAAGCGAAGGACAACAACAGATGGGCATCTGGCATAAACCTGTAATCCAAATACTCAGGAGGCTGAAGCAGGAGAATAGCTATGATTGAGGCTAGCCTGAACTACATAGTGATTTCAAGACCAGCTTGAACTACACACACACACACACACACACACACACACACACACACACACACGAAGGAAGCTAAAGCTGGTTCAGTGGTATACGCCTATAATCAAAGCACCAAGGAAGACTGTGGCAAAGAATCATAGGTCAACTCCCACTTGAGTGATAGACAGAGACCATATATCTCAAAAAGAAAAAAGAAAAAAGGAAGGAAGGAGAAAGGAAGGAAAGCCAGGTCTGGTCATGCAGGCCCTGTAATTCCAGCACTTGGGAGACCAAGGCAGAAGGAGTGCCACAAGTTTAAGTCCAGCCTGGACTACAATAGTGAGTTCAAGGAAGCCTGAACTACATACATGGTGAAATCCTGTCTCAAAAAGAAAAGACAGGAAAAAAAGAAAAGAAAGGAAAAAGAGGCTGAAGACCTCACTTCTGCCAAGACAAGCGGTCCATTCCTGTCTCAGCTCTGAGCGTTCTGCAGGGAGGGGCTGCTGAGAACTGGTTGAGCCGAGCCCTTGCTCCTGTAGGGTGAGGCTTGGGGAATAAACGGGCACCCCCTCCTGGTCCCCTGTGCTCCTGCTACGGTGGAGGCTGCCTGTTGCCTGTTGGTTCTTCCTAGGCTTTAAGGTGGCTGGAGGAGCCGCCCTGCCAGTTCCACCACCCCACCTTTTCCTTGTCTCAGGTGGCGGCTGATCTGGGAGACAGCGCCGGGTGCGAGTACAAGATGGATAGAGAGGCGGGAGCGGCCGGGCCAGGCCGGGGCCATCAATTATCTGGGGTGTGTATGAGGGGGGCAGGAGTGAAGGAGCCGGGGAAGAGAGCAGAGGAAGAAATATGGAGATGCTGCTCTAGTGCTGAAGTGGGAGGGAGAGGAGCGGAGCGTGTCAGACTGTGTCAGTCAGCCTGTGTGAGCTGCCACCGCTGTTCTGCGTGGCCCTGACTGCATGCAGGTCGGGGTGGGGAAGCTCCATGCGTGCCAGTCTCCGTGCTTGCGTTTCTGTTAGCCTGAATGGCTGTGTGTATGTCTACCCGGAGTAGCTTCATGTGTCTGTTAGGGTCTCGTAGCATGTACATATTATCAGTCTGTGGAGGCTGTGTGTGTGGTTGTGGTGACTGTGTGTGTTTGAGGAAGCTGTGTGTGTGTCTGTGCCTGCCTGTGGTGACTGTGTCTCCGTTGTGTAAATCTGTGGCTGTGTTTGTGCCGAATCAACTGTGCATATGTGTCTGTCTGTCTGTGTTGACGAAGTGAGATGTGTGTCCATTTGTGGCTGTATGCCTGTCTGTGGTGGCCTGAGGGTGGCTGTGTGTGATTGTCTGATGGTTTTACTTTCCTGTCTGTGTTTTTATTATCTTCTGTCCTTGTGTCAGTCAAGCTTTTTCAAAAGGGGGTGTATGCAGCAACAGAACAAGTGTGGTCTGTGTTCCCATGACTGACACTGTGTGTGTTTGTGTGTGTGTGTGTGTGTGTGTGTGTGTGTGTGTTTATGTATCTGAATTGTATAGGAATGGCCCAAATGAGCACATTGGCCTGCAGGATGCTCTGGGTAGGTAAGGAGGACTGACAGCATGGGTGTCCCTCTGTTTGCACACACCCGTGCATACACACTAGGTGTCCACAGGGGACAGTAACAGCAGAGCCAAGCTGCTGGGCTTGAATCTCCACTGCCTGATCCCTGTCCCTGCAGCACCGTGATCCCAGGTTATTAATGCCGCCCGCCACCCGACAGTCATACATATTTATCGCCCCCTCTTTCCTCCTCTCATCCAGCCCTCCTCCCAGCCCAGGTGAGGGGGCGGGGGCAGCAAGAGTGATTGACTCAGACAGGAGAGCTGGAGCCGGCACCCAACACCTGGAAGGGTGGGCTGGAGAGGGGCTGAGGGAAGGGTCTCACGATACAGAGGGAGAAAAGGCTTCCCAGGGAAGAGGGGGGCTTGAGTCCAGGAGAGGGCAATGGAGGAGCTGAGCGAGGTTTCCACGAGAGCCAATGTCAATCTCAGAGCCAGCCTCTCAGCCCAGATCTCACCTGTTTTTTTTTTTTTTTTTTTTTCCTTCAGGAGAAGCCATCCATCCAAACCCCCTCTTCAAGCTACCTGATGCTATGATCCCAACTACCTCCAAGCCGCCTCCTCCCAGTAAATCCCAGCAGCCCTGGGTCCGGCACCCAGTTTAAGGCCGAGCCGAGCTGGTTCAACGCAGTGATTCTTCGGAGGCAGGCATTGGGGGGAGGAAATAAGATTTGGCAGGGCACAGTACAGTGCCAGGATGTCCCCCTACCTCTGATCTCAGACAAATTGCTGTCTCTGCTGCTGAGATCCTGACAAATCCCTAGGCTTTGGCCACGGGAACCCCCACTCCTCACTGGAGACAGCTAAGATGAAAGGGAACAGTTGGGGGGCAGTGGCCCAGCGACCTTCGTGGGAGCTCAGACTGGGAGGGGTGAAAGAGTCTGTGAGGAAACGAGCCGAGAAATGGGAACATGGAATAAAATAAAATAAAATCCTCCCTCTGGCTTTCTTGATCGCTCCTGCTCGCTCTATGTCTTTTCACTGTTTTTCCATCTCTCCCTCCCTCCAGCCTCCTCAGTCTCTTTCTTTCAATTTCTTCCCTCACTCTGTCTGTCTCTAATTTCCAGTATTCTGCTCTTTTTTGTCTCTAGCTGTGTGGTTCCCTCCTTCTGTCCTTCAAGTTGTCTGTCTTTGGTGGGTGGTGGGGCTGGGGGGCGAGTGGTGAAGAGGCTCTCCACCCAGAGCTCTTTTCTCCCTGCTCAGGGCTGAGGGTGTTGTCTGAGGTGGGGTCCCTCTCACTCCAGAGTTGGCTTAATTAAGCTAATTGGGCGCGGTGACATTTACAGAGGGGAGAGGCTAGGATGGCTGTCAGCGAGGGTGGAGGTGTGCGATGACTGGGGGGGGGCCTTCTTTCCTTCCGCAGGCTCCTCCAGGCCCTTGCAGCGGGAGCTGAGCCAGGAGCACTGTGCCCCTAAGGCAGCGGGCCCACGCACCTGAGGGGAGTTGAGGCCATCTCCAGCTGCCAAGTAAACTCCACTGCAGGGAGGGGGGCACATGCGACTCTTGGGATGGGACAAGGCTGCTGGGAATGGAGGAGGATCAGCCTGCCAGCCCCCAGCCGCATTGCAGGGTGCACCTCCCTGGGGCCTCGGGACTGGTCGGAGGTTCCCTTCTGCCCTGTAGGTCAGGCATAGTGCTCAGGACCTGGCCAGGGGAGGAGTCAGTAACGTGGGTGGGGAAAGACCAGTCCAGGCCTGGGTGGGGTAAGGGAGAAGAATAGCGTTCTGAGCCCCCATGCCTATAAAAAGGCAAGGACACCGCAGTCTGGGTGAGGTGAAGTCTGGCTGGGTGTCAGGGACAGAGATGAGGGTGAAGACAGAGGTGGGCAAACAGGACAGGATAGGCTGAGGAGAGGCTTGAGACAGAGACTGAGTAGAGGGCTAGGGTTGGGGACTCAGCAGGCATTGGGGGGCACAGCAGAGGACGCACCAAGGATAGACATGAGGGCTGGATGAAGAGATCAGAAATGGACAGACATTGGGCAGAGGCCTGATGCAGAGGAGATAGGGACCAGAGGAGCAAAGATGGGGTACAGCAAAGATGGGAGCCCAACTGTGGCCAGGGATGTGGGTGAGGGACAGATGGGCACTGGGGACAGGCAGCAGTGAGAAGGCCCAAGGGCTGGGCGATGGAGGTGGGGACACAGGATGGGGCAAAGCAGAAATGGAGGACGAAGGGTATTCCCAAGCACAAACCGATGCTGATGGACACACAGACCAGGAGCAGGGATGGGAGAAGCTGATGGGACCTGGAATGGGAAAGAGGGGCAAGGGGAATGAGGGGCCTGGAATCAGCTGAGGACAGGTATGAAAGACAAGCCTGGGGTAAGCAGAAGGTGAGGCTGGGCCAGGCTTGGGAAGGGGCCAGGCTGGTGTAGGCAGAGACCCCTTCCAGATCCCCTCCAGCGAACAGGGAGGGGGGTGCCTGCCTGGGGTAGGGTGGGAGGTGGGCTCTGCCCTTGGGTGGATCGCCTCCTCCCCAACGGCCCCTCCTGCCCGCCTGCTGGAGGCCTGCCGCGCAAGGCTCACCGTTATCTGAATTTTGATTTTATTTTATTTTATTTTATTTCCCTGCTTCCTAGAGCCGGCGCGGTCCCCCCGGGAACGGCCGCCCCCCGCCCCCCGCCCCGCGCCTCACTTTATTATTGCAATAAATGTGCCTATAAAGGCGCGGGCTCCGGGGCGCGGTGGGGGGGGGGGCGCCGAGCCGGGATGTAATTTCCCGAAGCCGGAGCCGGAGGGGGAGTGGGCGGGGTGGAGGTGGAGGAGGGGCGGGCGGGGGAGAGGGGAAGGCTCGCCAATTTCCAGCGCTCAAGGCCGCACTCCCTGCTCTTGTCCCCACCCCACGGCCCGTCCACAGCACGCCGAGCCTCCTCTGTTCCGAGGCCCCCTCCCTTTTGATCTGGCCCCCTCTGTTATCACCCACCCTCACCCAGACCCATTTTGAGTTACCTGGGCTCTATCCAAAGTTCCCTATCTTCTTGACGATTATTTCATCTCTCTACCCAGTGGGGATCCCTCCACTTACCTGGTGGCTTTAGAGATTACCTCACTCTTCTCCAGTTACCCAGTTCGAGACCCCAGGGGCCTCTCTTTACCTTATTTTTGTCTGCTACCTCAACTCTTCTTCAGTCACCCCTCTGCCCTGCTCCTCACCTACCCAGACCCAGGACTCTAAATTCTCCTTTCCAACAGTGCCCCTCCCATCAGGACCTGGGCTTCTGCCGCAGGCCCTGGCCCAAGGGAACTGTCACAGTACCCTCCTCCCAGTGTCCCTGGCCCAGCTGCGGCCCCTGATTACCCCCAAATCCCCTCCAGCAGCTCTGGGCCCTAGCCCAGACTGTGCGTGCCTAAGTGGCCAAGCCAGAGATTAGCTGGGGGGCTAAAGGAGGGTAAGGAGGTAGGAGGCAGTGGCTGGACCCTGGGCTGCAGCTCGCCAGCTCTGAGACACTTGCTCGAAGCCTAATCCTTCCCTGCGGTGGGATAGAGCTGAAAGGTCCCACAGGCCCCCCGCCCTTGCCCTCCCCCAGCTAATTAGTAATTAGTGATTAGTGATTAGTGACTATTGATCACCTGCTGCTTCTCCCGGTAGGCAGCGGCTTTGGCAAGGGGTGGGGAGACAGGGAAATGAGTGGAGAGTGTATCAGAAAGATCCTGAAGCAGCCCAGGTGGAGAGGCCAGAGCCCTAGAGGCAGTGGAAACCAGGAGTTCCAGGCCCTGAGAGGCAACCAGAGGTCTAGGGCAAGAAGGTAGGTGGCAGCGCACTTCTGCAGGAAGGGCAAATGGAGAAGGCAGGGCTGGTAGCACGGAAGGCGTCTGAAGAGTTGCCCTACAAACTCTGTTCAGAAGCCTCTCTCCAAGTGTCACTGTCACCTTTTGCCCACCCCCGACACTGGTATGGAGACAACCCAAATGCACATGCACACAAGAGCCACATGCAGATATATGAATATGTTCTGAGGCTCACAACCCCATACTCACAAAACCATAAGCACACAGATACATGTTCACAAATCCCAGATTCACTTACAGACAACACACACAACACCACGCATACACGCCACAGCCCCTGGAGCCTACATGTGTGCTCACTCCCTGCTCACAAGAGGACACAGCAGCACACACAGGTATTTGAACACATAGACATTTCTCTACACACTTCCCCACACCTAGTTACACGTATTCACACAGTCAGGGTGTGTGCACACACACCACGGATAAACATAGATTCTCAAGTGCACACATGCTGGACTACATGGCAGATCTGATTTCCCCCACCGACTCCCACACGGAGGCCCACAGCTGCAGCTCTCACACACACTTGGGCAGATCCCATCGCTCATATCCTCACGCTCATTCTCCCTCAAGTCTCCACCAGATGTTTCATTCCCCTTCAGGGGGCAAAGGAAATTAAACCAGATCTGTCCACAGGGGAGTTTATTTGATGGGAAGAGAGGAGAGGAGAGGAAGGAGGAGGCAGAAAGGAGAGGCAGGGCAGTGCCATCCCTACCTCCCCTTGACCTCAGGCCTTCACACTTGGTGGTGCTGGGCCAGACCTCTCCTCAGTCTTCTAAGGGTAGAGCCAGACAACAAGTTCAAAAGCTCTTGCCAGTGGAAGTAGTTTAGGGAGGAGGCTCCTCTGCCCACCTTCCAACCCCTCAAGGTCACCAGGCAGGTCTGGAAAAATTGGCAGCTCCATGGTTAGCTTCACGGGGGAAGCTCCTGTCCTGCTCGAGGTACTGAGGGCAACTGGGGTAGGCAGGCACGGTCTGAACGTTGGAACTACATCCCTTCTGGACTCCACAGAGGCTGAGGATTGGGGGCAGGGAAGGAGGATTTAGGGGGCTACTGCCTTGCCCTTTGGCTACACAGGTCACAATTGGGGTGCAGGAAACTAAAGATATGGGCAGAAAAGCTGACAGATGGGATGGGGTCAAGGCCTAGGCCCCCAGTGTGGAACACGCACCGGGTACAAACAGATGCCTGCCCCGTGAAGCAGGCTCCTGCACTCACCACCGCCACCTACCACGCACCCTGACCCCAGCCCTAAACACCTCTAAGCGTAGGGTTCCCTTGACAGACAAGCACCCAGGTGTGCGCCAACCCACACACTCCACAGCAGCACACATGAACACACTGTGAACACCAGCCAAGCTTCCAAGTAGAGAGGATGGCAAGATCGAGTCAGGGCCGCCTTAGCCCCTGGGTCCTCGACCAGTCACCTCAGGGAAAGATGAAGCTGAGGGGTTGGGGACAGGGAGGAGAGACCCCGGTCAGACAGCGCCCCCACCTCACGGGCCCGCGCGAGAGGGGGTGTGTCTGTGAGGTTGTGCAGGGGAGATGGTGTCTCCGCGGGAAATGTGATGGGAGGAAAATTGTAGCCAAGTTCAATCGTGTCCGTGTGCGTCCGTGTGTGCGTGCGGGCCCAGGTCATGTAAGCTCCGAACACAGAGCCCACCTGGCACTGTGACAAGTGCAGAGAAGAGAAATGCGAAGGCGAGGGTGGAGGAGAGGAAGGACAGACAGACACTGAGGGTGGCGAGAGAGGTGGTGCTGAGAGACGGCGAGGCTGACACCCTGCTGGCTTGTCTGTCTGTCTCGCACTCCCGCTCTGTCTGGCGCACGCCCGGGTCGCTCTTCGTCCCCTCCCTGCTGCTCCCCAGCCCGAGCTAAGCCGGGCCTCCATCAGGACCCCCTCTACCCTCAGTCAACTTGTGCCGAGAGTGCGGGTCCTGAAGCTGGCAGTCTGTCTGTCCGTGTCCTCCGCGCCGCGCAAAGTTGGGATGCTTGGAGTCGGGGGCGGGGCAGGCGCACGGGACCCCTCACACTCCGGACCTTCGCGTCCGGACCCCGCGCTCGCTCGCACTCCAGCCGCGTCACCCTTACCTTCCTAAGGAGCCACGGGCCAAAGAGCAAGAGGAGCCATTCCGGGAGCCGCATCTTCCCGGGCGGCCGAGCGGGGCGGGCAGGGCGGGTCCGGGGCGGGCGGACTGGGAGCGGGCGCGAGCGCGGGGGG